TAGGAAAAAAATGCCCAAACCAAGAGTAGTCATTCTCCATGGGCCCCCCACCCAATCACCTAATCTCCACTCTGGGCAGTCACTAATCTACTTTCAGTTTTCAAACATTTGCTTATTCAGGACTTTTTTTTTTTTTTTGCATTCCTCCTCTCTAACTATATTTACGTATCCTTTGGCCAACATCCCTCTTTCCTTTTCTCCCCTTAAACACCTAAGCCATTCTACTCTCTATTTCTGTGACAGCAACATTTTTGAATTCCACATGAGTGAGATCATGCAGCATTTGTCTTTCTGTTTTTGTCTTATTTCACATAATAGTGTCCAGGTTCTTTCATATTGTCATGAGTGACAGAATTTCATCCTTTTTATGGCTTAATAGTATTTCACTGTGTATATATACAGTATATTATTTATCCATTCATCTGTTTCTTCTTACTTTCAAAAACATGGTTACTAGAGAATTTAAGATCATATATGTGTCTCACATTTGTGGCTTGTCCTATATTTCTATTGAATATAATGTGAATCTGAGCAGTACAGTGTTTAGTTTTCTTAAATATTACCAAATTGTTTGCCAAGGGGATTGTACCATACTTATTCTCCTCAGCAGGGTATGCAAGTTCATTTCATACGATTGTCCATGGAGATTGAGACTTAAAATCCCCCTGACCATACAGTTCCCAGTCATCTGTAATATATTTCTACATTATCTGTCTCTACTGGAGTTCATATGACTTTTGCCTTGTTAATTAAGTGAATTATATCAACAGAATTTCTAATGGTAAGACATTTATTCAGTTGTGAAATAACCAACTTGGTCATGGTATTTTAAAAATTATACATTGTTGGATTGAATTTGCTAATATTTTGTTAGGAGTTTATAAATGACACAATTTGGCAACATTTTTATTATATTTTTCAGTTTATAGTATCAAAGTAACACTAGATTCTTAAAATGTACGTTATTTCCTCTTATATAATTCAGAAATTCATCTAATTTCTTGGGCAGAATTCGAATTAAAACTCTTGGCCTAGTTTTTTTTAAATTAGAGAATTTCTTTAATCAGACATATTTTGATTCCCTTCTCATTTTTCCTTTTGTGCATTTTGTAGATTTTTTTCTTATTGTACTGATATACTACATTTCTTTATTCATTCATTCATTGATGTATATTTGCATTATTTCCTTTTTTATTAGTTGCTGAAAACATTACAAAGATCTTGACTTATCATATATCATACATTTGATTCAAATGGGGTATGAATTCTTAATTTTTCCATGTGTACAGATGGCAGGATCCCATTGGTTATATTTTCTTTATGGTTATCATTGCAATTACATAACACAACAATCTATTATTTTAAGCTGATAACCAATCTCTTAACTTCAACCACATGTAAAACTGTTCCTTTACATCTCTGTCTCTTTCTCCTTTAGTGTATCAATGACACATTTTACTTCTTTTTTTTCTAAATATATTTTTATTAGTTGTTGATAATCTTTATTTTATTTACTTATTTATTTATATGCAGTGCTGAGAATAGAACCCAGTGCCTCACACATGGTTGCAAGAACTCTACCACTGAGCCACAATCCCGGCCCCTACCTCTTTTTATATTGTGTATTTATCAACAGATTTATGATTAATTTTATGCTTAAAAAATTCCACATCACATTTAAAAGTGGTTTGTGCAGATATATTTTGATGCTATAGGATCTTACATTTATATATTTACTTTTACCAGGAAACTTTATGTTTCCACATGGTTTGTTGCTCTTTATCATCCTTTCACTTGAACTTGAAAGACTCCATTCTGCATTTCTTGTAGGCCAAATCTGATGGTGATGAAGTCCCCCAGATTTTGTGTATCTGGAAATGTCTTAATTTCTCATTTGTTTTTGAAGGACAGTTTTTCTGGAGATACTACTCCTGATTGATTTCTCTTAATATCAAATATATCATCCCACTCCTTTATAGTCTTCAAGGTTTTGCTGAAAAAATCCTCTCGTAATTGAATCAAAGCTTCCTTATATGTTGCAAGTTGCTTTTCTTTTGCTGCCTTCAAGATTTTCCCTTTGTGACTTTTGACAGTTTGGTCATGTTGTGCTGCAGTAAGGATCTCTTTAGCTTCATCCTAGTTCGAGTTTTTAGTTTTTTTAAAAAAATTTTTCTTTTAGTTGTCGATGGACCTTAATTTTATTCATTTATGTATATGCAGAGCTAAGAATGAAACCCAGCGCCTCAAACGTGCAAGACAAGCACTCCACCACTGAGCCACAACCCCAGCCCATAGTGAGAGTTTTTGAGTTTCAAACTCATATATTCGTTGTTTCTTCAGATTTGTAGCCATTATTTCTACCAACAGACTGTGGGAATGTTTCTCTTTTTTTCCTTCATTGGCTCCCAGGATGTGTGTGCTGTTCCACTAATAAAGTTCCATAAATGCCTTAGGTCTCTTCACTTTTCTTCATTTTCCACACCTTTCCTCTGTGCTGGTGATTTTCAATGATCTGTCTTTCAGCTCACAGGCTCTTTATTCTGCCTGGTCAAGGCTGCTGTTGAGTTTCCCTAGTGATTTTCTTCAGTTCAGTTTTTGTATTCTTCAGTTCCAGCATTTATTTGGTTTTCCTTCATCATTTCCATCTCTTTGTTAATATTATCATTTGGTCCATGCACTGTCTTCCTGATTTTGTTTAGTGGCTTCTCTGGGCTCTGTTTTAATTTATTGAGTTATTTTGAAAACTCTGCCAGGTAATTCATCTATCTTATTCTTTAAAATTTTTTTTTTCAGTTGTAGATGGACACAATACATTTATTTTATTTTTTTTTAAATTCATATGTGGTGCTGAGGATCAAACTCAGAGACTCATGAGGGCCAGGCAAATATTCTACCCCTGAGCCACAACCCAAGTCCCATCCATCACTATATCTTCTAGGTCAGTTTTTGGAGATTGTTTCATTGATTGGGTTTTGCTCTCTTGTTTTTTGTATTCCTTGCTATCTTTTGTTGGTTTTGGCATTTGAAAGATTAGCCACCTCTCCTATGGTCTGCTTTAGTATATGGAGTACCTCCTTCAATTAGAGATTCTAGAGACCCTTAAACATTTTCAGGGGACTTCTCAACCTTGTGACAT